ATCGTTGTTGTCATCCAGGTTGTGGTTGAATACCACCTGCTCACAAGAATCCGCTATGGCGCAAACTCACACAGACAAGTTGCATGAATGAGCCTGCAGAGTGCTACCCAGTAGAGTATCTACCAAAATGATCCGGACTGAACACATTTCATTGGATGCCTGGTTTGAGCCACCTGCTTCACCCAAGGATTGGCTCTACCGTCCCTGCGCTTGCCTGATCGACCACGGACTTTGCGTGGATGTTGAAGGGGTACAAGCGCACCCCTCGCCTGCTTCGAGCCTCGATCATATTGCTACAGATTGAAAAAACAATGAGTTGCACGCGAAGAACAATTCTTGCACGCCGTTAAAAAATGTTAAAAACACTATGGTTTTCTTTGCCATGTCTTGCTGTTGTTTTCATGTGAAGTGCAAGGTTTTCTTGTGATGGCCTGGAACAGATCGATTGGATTTTCCTGTGGTGTAGCACCAGGACACCAGGTGGCCCCACTGCAGCAAGAAGAAGTTCAACTTCTGGATCTTCCTGGCGAGAAATCGCCGGCTTTGTCGATGGTCTCGAATGGAGTCTTGACAAAGCACTGCAATGTGACATGACTTGATGAAAAGAATCGACGAGATTGTGTCCAAAGTAGTTTCCCCAGAATCAAACATGTTCAAATACCAGCAGGACGGTAAGAACACGGCTCAACTAGAATCACGGTGATAAATAGGGCATCATTGATTGCCGGTCTGCTTTCATGGTGATACGCAGGAGGAGGACAATGACTACAAGGCACGATATCTTCACCATGGATTGTTGAATGCATTGTTTGCTCGCAGCAGGACCTCATCCACTAATTCCGGCGTACAAGGCGTGGCCTCCACGCCAAAATCAGTATAATCAGTTTGGCTTTGCTCTCGCTGTTCGGTCTCCCGCGATTCTCAGACACGTGCAAATCGTATCAAATTGTTACAACCCGTTCATTTCTGGCGTGGAAAAATAAAAATTGTATAGACATGTATAGACCACATTTCAAAGACGTTCATTGGTCATCACATGTCATCACATTCCAACCCGAGCTCTCTGTTTGGGCCGTTTGCGCTGCCCACCCTAGCCGAAGCGATGCGCATCTCCAGGCCTGGCGTTGAGATCCAGTTGTGACAGTTCAGTTCTATCTTTGATATCTTTCTGAGTCTTTCTCCATCTTTCTCCTTATCTCTTATTTTCAACTATTGCAATCAAGTTACATTTAGCTATACTATTTTATCAGATTTGTTCATATTTTTTTACATTAGCGACGATCCCAAGCTTGCCCTGCTGGTAGATTTCACTAATTCCCGCATCTTCCATTGCGCTACTATTCGGACAGACTGGTGACTGGTGCAACAAGGAGCAAGGAATTGCGAAAGCACTTGCTGTGGATGTTGTGCTTTGGAACACAAGACATGCTCATCAATGGCAACCATAACACCTTTGTGCAACAGCAAAGTTTAGCAAGGCTCAACCTTCAGTCTGTTTCAAAATGTTCCTACCAGATCCTTAGGAAGTCATCTCAGGTCTACGGAAAATCTCTGCACCATGGCTTTGCTGCTGGTCACACGGTCCCTCTTGTAATCGGCAATTGTTGGAGGAACCAATAAAATGTCTTGGCTCATGGGTGTTGCTTACATGCAGATAGACAATAAAGGATAGATTAGGTTACATAGGTTTTGTTGTAATTTGGATTAGATTAGATTAGATTAGATGTTATAATATGTTATAATATGTTATATAGATTAGATGAGATTAGATTAAGATGTGTATAGATAGGTAGGTAGCTAGCTGGCTAGATAGGTAGGTAGGTAGGTAGATATAGATAGCTAGATAGATAGATCGATCGATAGATCGATAGATAGATAGATCCATTGATTGATAGATTGATAGATAGATATAGAATGATATAGACAAATAGATAGACAAATAGATACATAATAATAGATAATATACGTATATATATTATATATATACATATCCTGTAGATAGATCATGATAGATCAGTAGGTAGGTAGATGGATAAATTGATAGATTTTGGATGATTGTTGCGGAATTTTGGCTTCCGGGTGAGGTCGGGGGTGTCAATAATGTGCACTTGCCCTTGCCCACAAACTTCATGCTCTGCTACAGAATGGTCACTCACAATTGCACGCATACAGTGGTTGCTTGGTGCCATGCTACAGAATCTTCACTTGCATTTCGACACATACTTCATGCTACGCAACAGAATAGTCACTTGCACTTGCATAGATACTTGATGTTATGCTACATAATCTAAGAAAGAACAAGCTGTTGCAACATCTGGCGGGTGTGCTGACAAACGCGAAGTGAAAGCTTGAAGAGGGAGAACGTTCAGTTGGTGTTTGAATCAGATCAAATGTCATCGAAATGCACGAATTAGTTCGGGTGCCTCATGGTGCATCCTACTTCGGTGTTGAATCTCGTTGCACTCTTTCCCTTCCAAATCCTTCTTCCACAAGCAACATTGAATGACACAGCATGCCTCTTGGGGTCAAGCAGCGTGACGGTGTGCCTGAAAAGAGAATGGATGGCCATTTGGACTTCCATGGACTTCCCTTGGTGCTGCTTGCTGCATTCAGAGCCGAGAAAGGTGCCCAAATTCAGTATTATGTTCTTTGGAGTTTTTCTGCATATCCATTCCCACTGCAATATCTGCAATGAGGTCAAACGAATAAATCCACAACGAATGAAGTCAACACAACACCACCACCCGACTCATCATTGTCATTCTGCAGTCCTTGTGTCTGTCATGCTGAGACTCGCCTGAGACGCGGCTGCTAGGTCTGCGAGCCACCTTAGACCCAATCATAAATTGTTGCGATTTGTCGACACACACACACACACAAAAAAAAAACATGTGGCAATGGATGAACGTGGTGAGAAAGTTGAGGGATTGTGAATTGAATATACTTGAATCAAATGTTGCAACAACAATCGCAAAAGCTACGACTTCTTTTGGCCAAGTTGATGTCCCCGACTTGATCTTCTCTGTCGCACAGTTTGGGGAGCATGGTCCACATGGCAAATCCATTGAGTAGCCTGCTTCATCGCCAGCTTGACACCTGGAAAGCATAGACTCTGGCGATATGTTCCATGTTTTTCTAAGCATCACCAAAGACAATGAATATGTTTTCTCTAAATGTGCTACAGTAAATCGTGCTAAGCTCATTTGCTTCCCTTTAGTGTCTTCAGGGCTTCGGCGACATGAGCATTGCATTATATGCATTATGTAATCGTTGAAAGATTTGAAAGGGAAATGCACCAGCGTTGTCCTGGATCAATAAAAAAAAATAAAAACCCCGTTTGGATCCGTTTGGTGGGGCACAATGGTCTTCCTGCCAGTTGTAGGAGTCCTTTTGACATGGAAATACGCTGTCCGTCCTGCCAGAATCGATAGGTTGGAGGCACCTCTGTCCCTCGTGAGTGGCCATCAGCTACTTATTGGCTCTATGCAATGATAGGTTGTGTAAAGTTCTGCCTGAGTAAACGATTGTGTTCCATGGTGGTTTCCATGGTTTTCCTATGTTTTCCTATGTTTTCCTTTGCCAAACTCTGTGTTTCCCATCCATGTCACATGTCCATGTCTATCCTGTTGTGCGCAATGTCCGGTCAGGTCTTGGTGCGGTTCTGTGAAGCCTGCAGCCAAATGCTGAGCATCTCCTGCTGAATCAGTGTTTCATCATGTTTAATCTATGTTAAGTTAAATATCATTAACATTTACTAAATATTGTGAAATCATGTTGAATCACTTCAAATCTCAGAGTTTTGCCACCTCCAAAATGAATGAAAATTAAACAACATGAAATAAGCGTCCTTGCACTCCATGAGAGGAAACGTTGATCCACCAATCACAGGTCAAAAAACATCTTTCTGTCTTCTCTGGAATATTGCCACAAAACAACTCCTCAAACTGAATTTACCATTTCATATCATTTCACTATAATTCACTATAATTCACTAGAATTCATGATAATTCATGAAGACCATAAAGCCCGTTGCACCGCCACACGCAAACTGGGAGCAAGACCTTTTTGAAAATGCTGGATGGATCACATGATCAGGAAAATATGATGGTGTCTGCGTTGGACATCATCTTGCTGATCATCTTAAGAATCGCAAAGCATTAGCAAGAAATGAATCGAAATCGCTCGAAATCGGTGTATTCACACATCTGGGCTTCAGGTCAAATCTTGGAACCGCATTCGCTGAATCGTAGGCACACTATGGCACGCTGCTCATGGCAAATCTGTTTGTGTGGTTCAAAACAAGACCATCTCGCTCCACTCTACTTAAGCTCGGACAAAAGGAGCGAGCACAAACACCTACATTGTAATCTCCTACCTTTTCTGTGGATTTGGCGGCGATTTAGACCAAGCCACAGAGCAGCTACATTATCAATATCCGCAATATTCCAGGACAAGCCGGTTCCAGGTGCAACATGGTCCAACAACAGATTCTGGCGCAGGGATACATTCGCAACTTTCGTCCCCGTCTTTGTAAACCAGGCTCATCCAAGGTGGCAGGCGGACAGTGCGTTTGCAAACAAGCGACACATCATGACACATCTATTCAAGCTTTGTGAAATGCACAGCTATGCACAGCTATCAGTTACAACATACTCTTAGAATGACGCGGATGTCAACGCTTCATGTCTCAGAACGACCAAGCCAGCTGTGCAACCAGTCACAAGGCACTTTATCAGAACGACCTTCAAGTAGCTTCCCTGTCGTGCTCATTGTCGCTGAGGCGCCTCTGGTTGGGACCGGTTGGGACAGATTGATTGAGTCTTAAAATCGTTAAAATGAGCCTTTTGCATCCTTTTGCTTGGGATTTCTCTTGATAAACTTGCACACAAGCTGCAGTAACAACTATGCTTGAACAAATATCGACGTAATCTTCTAGCTGTCACTCGTGCTTAAAAGTGAGGAGCGCAGCCGTCCCAACTAGAGACCATTGGGGAATTGAATCAACCTATTGTGAATCTGCCATATCCATCCATATCCAGTTTAGATTGGTATACAGCAGTAATACATGCGCAACAAGGATTTCCTGCCTTTGCCATTGCATTTAGCAGTGATGCAGGGCCTGCGGTCGTGTCACCCATCTGCCCAGCGCTTTTAGGCGCTGAATGGCGCTGATGGTTTGCAAATTCATTGTCAGTTGGGAGATGGGAGCAGGAGTGAGGGACTCCACAGCCACCTGAGATACTCAAACATACTCAAACTGAATCTTGAACCAAAATGCCGAATTCTGGGTGTGGTCTTCAATCAAACCCAAAAAAATCAGGTTTGCCCGACCAACTCCATCCGAGTGCTGACCTGATGCTTTCGCTTTGGGCGCCATTGCTTTGGCCAAAGCTGATCTGGGCGAGACCGGGGCGGCCTGCGCCTTTGACTGTGCCTTGGGCACGGTCAAAGTCAGCGCCTTGGCTTTGGGACTCGGTGAAGGACTCGCCTTCGATTTGGGACTGGGAGCCGTGGAAGCCTTGCTGCTGGCCTTGCTGCCTGTGGCGCCTTTGGGCGGAGCCAAGGAGGATGGCAAGGCTGGGGCCTTGCCGCGAGGACTGGGTGGAGTGCTTGCCTTGGCCTTGGCATCAGCTGCGTTGGTCGAACTCCTTGCAAGCAATTCATGAGTTGCGAACATCAAGAGCGTCATCAACACCTTCATCAAGCCAAGTATCAAATGTATCAAACATCAACACTTATCACTTATCAGGTCTCATAAAGAGTCATCGAGCGCCATCAAGATCCATCCAGCGCTACCAAGCACCATCAAGGGGCATCAATCACACACAAGTCATCCAAGGTTGCACTGATATATCCAGCAACTGCTATTGAGAATAACTTTTCCAGGATGATACGATCTAGCCAAGGCTTCGTCATTAAAGCTGTTGCTGCGTGGCAACGCAGTTGACAACATCTGGGGAAATCCCGAATCGATGCACTTTAAAATACTCATCTCTTCATATGATTTGAAACCTACAACTTTATCATAACAATATCATCATTAATCATCATTACCGTCATTACCATTGCCGATGGAAAACAATGACACCGACCGGATCCAACCGGCTTAGCTGCAAGGTGCACAAACAGCATCAGCATCTAGTCTCGCTCCTTGGAGTGCGAGCACCTCGAATGACATCTCGAATGGCGAATGAAGTCCCGTGGGGCAATGGACTGAGATTTCAATACGTTTCAAATAGGTTTCAAATACGTTTCAATCCCATCAACATGTAATCATTCTAAATCCACAGTATACTCCGTACCCGAATGTGTGAGCGTGCCTGCCTCGACACTTCATTTAAACTAGTACAACATGGGAACAAAATGGAAAAACATACAAAAGTCCAGAAAATCCTGGAACCCTCTACCTGCGTCCAGTTCAGCTTCACCTGCACACACTTACCCGGTTCACTAGCTATACCGGCATTTGGAGTGGTATTGAACGATGGGTGTGAAGATGTCATGGTGTCGTCACAAAGGATTCTTTCAAGAGAAAACGTCTGAAGCATCTAGGAGCCTGGTGGAGTAGTGGTACCAGAGCTTCCGGCTGTGCCTGTGCACAAGCTGTACAGCCCTATTTTTCGATCTCAAATATTTAGACACACACACACACTTTGCTAGGGAAACATGTGATGAAAATAGAACATCTGAACCGCAAAACCCCACCATCTGGTCTCCCTCTCACCTATCCAAAGTGCAGTATGGCAACATGCATCGTTGGACTCAAAGCAAGCATCGAAAATGCGTCATGGGCCGTACAAACAGCTTTACACAGCCAACAATAGTGCACTGCTTTGACGTGGGCCACTTGCATTGCCAGCCCCTCAGTGACCTTGTGTTCCTCGAGGTGTACCTGGCTTGCGTGGTGTTCCAGACCCTGCGATGACAGGTACACAATGCAGTGACATGGTCTGGCATCAAGGCAAAATGTGAGAGTTTTAGTCATGGTTTGTCATGTAGCTCAAATTGACGTGGAAGGATTCACAAGGAAATTGTGCATTCTCGACAAACCGTCGGAGAGTTGCAGAAGACTCCCCGGCAATGAAGCTTGCCACGCATCCGTTTGTACTTCGTTTTGGTGCTTTTCAATAAGACTCAATAAGACCAATAAGCACGTACATCACACTTGATACCTTTATTGGGCAGTTCTGCCTCGCCTGACAAATGAATTAAATTGACAAGAAAACTTGCACACACAAACATTGGCCACGCCTGAGCCGATAAATTTTGCCTCGAGGTGCGTTCAAAGCCGAAGCAGGGCTGATACCACCGTGCACACACTGTATGTCATGCACTGCATGTGGGGGAAGTGGTGGTAAGTTGTGCTCACTGCTGAAAGAGGTCGGGTTCGGATTCGGCTGGGATTGCAGAGCAAACTACAAATTGGAAGTGCATTCTGTACTTCAAACAAAGGTAGCTAGCACTTTCAGGATTCCAATTGAGACATTTCAGAATCCATGTCGAACTCTTGTGGTGCCATGAGGGAATTATCGGCAGTACTTATTTCAGTGTTTTGCATTCAGTACCAAGCCACAAAGCCAACACCACAAGAGGGTGAACAACCAAGTTGCAAAGAACACAACAAATGATATATTTATATATATATAAATATAATATATATATAATTCCAACATATTCCAACATACGGTATTGCAACATTGCAACGATGCCGCCACGGAAACCACACAATACCGGATGTCACCGGATGTCTCAGGTGCACACCATCGGCACAAAGGCTGCACCCTGCTTCACCAAGACCTATGGAAATCTGGAAGAATCGAATCGTCTGAATCTGGAACAGAGAATCTCCTGTGTTCCCAGCAGCAAATCAGCACACGATAACATGGCAACTCTCTCATCTCTACCTGTCTCTATACCCAGCTGTGTTCAGTATCAATCTGTGGCGTTTGCCTTCGTCTTTGCACTTATTCTCCAATTGTCTGCAAAATTGTGCAAATATGTGTCGATATTGGTTAAGAAATTACCTCCGAAAGCATGGTTGAGAATTGCCTGGGCATAGTGAAGGTTGATCGGCTAACCCCTTAATCTTACACCATTCAACAAATTATTGTGATTTATTTGAAAGACGATGTTCCCTTTAACATCTGCCATTTGGCCCGCACTTTCGAGTTCTGGAGGTATTTATCTGATCTGTCCGCCTGATCATTCCGTAGCTGAACTTGCACGGTCTTCTCCCCGATCTTGTACCTGTCAGCTGATAGCTCTGCAGGTTGACTACCCATCTCTCATCTTCAAAGTGCGGCACTGTTTTCCAGTTAAGTTCATGGCAATCCAGCAGTTTTCTTGAAATCCTGCTGGGGGATGTGTATGTATAAATAATACGTGAAATATATCTATATACGTATTTAATATATTACAATATATATGTATAATATATATAATATTCAGGTGTCTCAGTGCAAGCTCAGCGCTCCTTCCAACCTGACCAGTTTCAGCGTCTCTTGAAGTCTCTTGGTCTTCCCACGTGTTGGCGCTCGCACGCAGAACCGCCAGGGAGGAGCCAGCCTTCTCCACTGCCTTCGGGGCTGTCGGGGGGCATATTTTGGGTCAGGGGAAATGGATATCCATTATATCCAATGATGAAGCATCCAATTATATCCAATGCGACTTCGGAATCTTCGGAGAAACAAAATCTATCACATAGGATACAAGCTACCGTCACAATGCTCCTTAAATTCTGTCTTTCCTCCAAATGCCTCCGAAATGATCCAAATGGCGTTTAATCTCCCTGGACCCAATGCCAATTCGATATATTCTCCTGGCTGCTCCATCTCCTTACTGTGAAAAGTAGAAAGGAGTCGAGAGATGGATCAACGGGCGGCATAGCCTCTGTGACCAAACGCAACTCCTTTTGCTCTGCACTTTCCTGCACAAGATTTTGTATGCAGGATTTCAAGCCCACACAAAGAGAGCAACAATGACTTTGCAAACTAAGATTGCCATCAAAAAGCATGGACAGAGTGAAGTAGCTGGTCATGGAAAATTGTGTTTAGCTGGCAAAATGGCGGTGTTGTTTGCAGGTCATCCAGGTATGAAGGGTGTCTTAATGTTTCCCATCATAATTGCTCTGCCCGATTGAGATGTACCAGACTCCAGAAGATAAAACAGCGACATCCATAAAATGACAGAACATGACTAATTGATGTGTGGTGCAAGGGACTTCCCCCATCACAAGATATTACTGCGCCCACAATTGCGAAGGAATTGATGCCTCCTCAACCGCATCACCTTGACACCGTGGAAATGTTTGCCCTCTTTGGGCCGTCCGAACTGCTCAAGATCTTGCAATTTTAATGTCAACTAAAGCGATCCCAAGAGAGAGATCTCACATTCTCTTGCTTTGTACTTCCTGCCATTTCTCAAATCCAAATGCTCAAAGTACATGTCATGTCCTAGACATTACTAGACAGCAAATGAGTCTGGGTTCCGCGCCAATGGGAATCTCCAACATTCTGGAGCCCCTGATGGAGCTTCTGATGGAGCTCCTGACGCGCGTTACGTGGATGGCACAACTGCAAAAGGCAGAAGTTTGCCACTTATATATACTTATATAAGGGTGTGAAATAGTTTTAGGAATTTTTTTTTGAGCAGGTTTGGGATTCTTTTTTGGATTTCTTGGCTGGTACCATTTGCCTAGTGTTTGCAACGGTTTGGAACTTGAATTTGTCATTTTGCATGGTATTTGCCACATTTGGGCATGTTCACCTTCCATTTTGCATGGGATTTACTACATGTGGGCATGTTCACCTTCCATTTTGTATGGTATTTGCCACATTTTGGCATGTTCACCTTCCATTTTGCATGGGATGTTCTACATGTGAGCATGTTCACCCAAATATTTACAGATGCGGAAGCTTGGGATTAGATAAAAAGCGGGTGGGGGGGATTGAGGGAGGGCGCTAGCTATCTATCCAGCTAGCTAGCTATCTAGCTATCTAGCTAGCTATCTATCTAGCAAGCTAGCTATCTATCTAGCAAGCTATCTATCTATCTAGCTATCTATCTACCTATCTAGCTAGCTATCTTGCTAGCTATCTATCTACCTATCTAGCTATCTAGCTAACTATCTATCTAGCTATCTAGCTATCTAGCTTTCTATCTATCTAGCTATCTATCTATCTAGCCATCCAGCTGTCTATCCAGCTATCTAGCTATCGAGCTATCTAGCTAACTATCTATCTAGCTATCTAGCTATCTAGCTTTCTATCTATCTAGCTATCTATCTATCTAGCCATCCAGCTGTCTATCCAGCTATCTAGCTATCGAGCTATCTATCTAGCTATCTATCTATCTAGCTAACTATCTACCTATCTATTTAGCTATCTATCTATCTATCTAGCTCTAGCTACCTCTTTATCTATCTAGCTAGCTATCTATCTATCTAGCTATCTATCTAGCCATCTATCTATCTAGCTATCTATCTAGCCATCTATCTATCGAGGTATCTAGCTATCTACCTCTCTAGCTATCTATCTATGTAGCTGGCTATCTATCTATCTAGCTATCTATCTACCAAGCTATCTATCAGCTATCCATCTATCTATCTATCTATCTATCTATCACATGTAATCCTGTCAGCTTTCCAGAGAAGGTTAGTTCGCAAAAACCAACTAATGTAACTTGGGTTTAAGTTTAAATTAAAAAAACGGGAGGGGGGATTGGGGGGAGGGCGCAGCGCCTCCCCCCAAAGCAGAATGCAAGCACCTCTTCTCACATGTTACGTTGCTAGTTTTCAAGAGAAGGTTGGTCATGTGATACTCAGGGATGTAAATACTGTGCAAAATGCATCTTACATGAAAATCAAGTATTTAAAGCAAGCAAAGCAAAAAAAAAAGCAGAGAAGCAAAAAACCAGAGAAGCAAAGAAACAGGAAACGCACAAAAGCAAAACAGCAGAAAGGCAAAGAAGCAGGAAAAGCAGAAAAGCAGAGAAGCAGGAAAAGCAGAGAAGCAAAGAAACAGGAAAAACAGAAAAGCAAAAAAGCAGAAAAGCAGAGAAGCAGAGAAGCAGGAGAAGCAGAAAAGCAAAAAAGCAGGAAAGCAGAGAAGCAGAGAAGCAGAGAAGCAGGAGAAGCAGAAAAGCAAAAAAGCAGAAAAGTAGAGAAGCAGGAAAAGCAGGAAAAGCAGGAAAAGCAGGAAAAGCAGGAAAAGCAGGAAAAGCAGGAAAAGCAGGAAAAGCAGGAAAGCAGAGAAGCAGGAAAAGCAGGAAAGCAGAGAAGCAGGAAAAGCAGGAATCCAAAATAATTCCTAAACCTGATCAAAAAAAAAATCCTAAAATAATTAGCCCTCCCTTATATAATCCTCACAGCATCTCACGGCCGCCAAGCAGATTGATACCTTAGGTCCCTAGGTTTTTGCAGCGGCCAAAGATTTAGGGAGAGAGGCTCACACACACACACACTTGCTCAGATAGCCCAGCCTTGGCTGATTCAATGGCGAATCAGGAGCTGGATGTGGCTGCCTCGAGTACTATGGGCCACTGCCTGTTGCATCCCATGGCCAAAGAAGCAGATTGTCCATTCGGATTCGGATCCATTTGGCATCCAATGTCAGGCTTCAGTGGAGACACGGTCCGTGTGACTGATTTGTAGGTAGGATGTTTATCTCACTGGATTGATTTAAGGGAAAATCTACAGGAAATTATGGTTTTAACCATCAAATATAGGGCTTTCCTGTAAATTTTCCCATCATCCAATTCTATGATTATCATGTTTATCCAACCCGACCCTTCCTTTTCTCTGTGGACTATGCTCCAAACGGAGGCGCATTGGCTGGTGATTCCGGGGCCTCAGGGTATCTGACCGTGGGAACCTGTGAAAATCCTGCGCCAAAGCCAATCTAGATAGTATCATATAGTATCATATATTATATATATAATAGTCTTTCATTAAATTTCTACACACAACCTATCACAACTATTCACAAGTTATATCCCTGCTTGTGACTTGTGAAAGGAAAGCTTAGATCACGAAATATATGGCAGCTGATGGCCTTAGGTCTTGCTCGACTAGGTGCCTTACATCCTTTGCCATCTCTGCCCTGAAAGCAGCAAGTGCCGTGTCTGGTATCCAAATCAAAATAGGGTTCCGCATTTACAGCGTGATCATTGAAAGGTGAAGCAACTCTATGACTCTATATCAACTAGCAGCACATTTGTTTACCGTCCCAAAAAAACATTATGTGCTTCTGTCTTGCACACATTGTATCTTCAAGAAGGGACGTCAATTTCTTAGAGCCACCAACCGTCCCACCACTGGCAGTGGCATAGCGTGGCATTTGGAGTCGCTTCAAGTCCGGGACATTGCCTCAAACTCTCGGTGGTAGCGGCACGCTCATTGATTGAGGCCTTGGATCGTGGCCAGCTCTGGCGTCCTCCCCCAGGGACATTCGTAGATATTTCATACTCAGAATGCTGCATGCACAAAATATTGGAAGTTCCATCCTGTGTGTGTTTGTGTTTACAGTGTGAAGTGCAGAGCGCCCACTCTTTGTGTGAACGCATGACTGCGATTGACTCCGTAACATTTTGTGAATTAGCCATTGCACCACAACATCATCTCGTCGTTCGAGGCCTCCTTCCACACCCCGCACAAAAATCACAAGCTCTTTCGGTTGATTGCATCAGGCTGCACATAGAATCGCACATGAAAATGGAAGGACTTAAACACACTTCAAGTGAACCTAGCAGCCCAAGAAGGATCCACAAGGATCTAAATGGCCCAAGCAAAACACCACCAGTTCATCCATATCTGACATGTTTTTTCTGCTCCTTCGCTGACATGTGTTTTCGTTGCAACAGGCCCATCATGGAGTGGCAGTCTGGCCCCCTCACTTGCCCAGCTTCGTTGGTCTTTGTAGACATTTGTAGACCAATCACCGCACAAATGCATCCAAGCAGCATGCACACAGGCAAACCACATAAAGAAAACCAGCGAGAACCAGGAAGAATCCTGTGCATTGTCATGCATTGTCCATTTTCTGCGAAAGAGGTAATGTGGCTCGCCTAAATTCCATTGCCCGAGGGCATGGGACACGAAAATTCAAAGTCATTGAGTCTTGATACACCTCCCTACTCAACGCTGAAAAATGTTGAAAACATTAAATCACATCACTGAGTTCCCCAAGGGACCAAAGCACCTGCACAGGCACGTAGCTGTGTATGATGCACCGTGTCCTGTCACACCCGCAGCCCAAATTGTTGTTGGAGCTGTCACTAAATCAACCCAAGGCAATCCGTCCTCTGGGCAAATCCACTGTGAAGTCGCCAAAAGTGGAAAGTCCTATAGTGCAACAAGGTGATCAAAATGATCAAAAACGGGGGCCATCCTTTTCGAACAGTAGTGCATGAGCATTGACATGCATTGACTCTCTTTTTGGAGTAGCTAGATTATACCATGGTCGATGCACATGATCCACATGTTTGGGAGAATCAATAAATGGATGTAACAGGGGAAAATCATCATTAAAAAAATAAAACATCTCAAAATCTGAAAAATCATCTGATGGGAAACTCCCCATGTTGAATGGGCTTAAATGAGCAAAGGGTATATAACACCTGCGCTGAGGCCGCTGAGGCTGCTGAGGCCGCTAAGGCCCCTACAACTTCACCAGATCAGGGCCACTGAAGCCACAACCCGCAGAGCTCAAAGCCAAACTCCCACGCATGGTGCGGCTAAGCACCTCCAAGAGATTGCGTCGTCGAATCAAAGACAAGAAAAGTACGTCCGATGCATTTGGGACCTGGAAACGGTTGCCGCAAATCTAAGTCGATGCTCTCAACGTAAGAAAAAAGTGACTCTGATCAAAAAGCATCACCTTGTCCGTCTCTGAAGACTGCTGTTGCAATGCCTGCCAGCTGAACACCGCTGAGGCTGGTTCTGATCAAATCTCTCCAGGTCAGTGAGTTCATGCAACTGTTTCAAACTCCTCATTACAACCTGCCACTCTCACTTTTGTCATGAGTAGTCTATGGCATGAGGCAAACTCTGACGGTCACATCGGTCACCAAAAGTAGGCCTGCCAGAGGTAGAAATACCTGGGTCCCACGGCTTCGCAACCAATTTCGATTTAGCCACCCAATGGTTCCATGGTTCCTCCCCCACCATGTCGTTCTTGTTGCAAACAGCCAGGCAAATGGCCTACTGGTTACTACATGTTACTACTACCGACCACCGGTCCCGGTCCTGGTCCTGTACAGCCTCCAACCAAAACAACTAAGTAAGAATCCCTTCAACTTCAAATCCTTTCAAACAGACCAGGTATACCATTCTGATACCATTCTGCAGCAATACTGCAAAGTTCAGCCACACAATGATATAACATGATATAACAACCTTTGCAAATTCTGCTCAACATACCCAACACGCTGCATGTTTTTTCAAGTTTGACTCAGCTTGACTCTTTGTTTGACTCTTTGTCAAACGCCAAGTTGCTCGGCTAACTCGAAAGGCTTGGACACCCTCGCACTTCGAGCCACTGCCAAGCGTGTCACAGCCAGCTGTTGCAACAAACGTGCCCAACCTGGCAGCTCATCAGCCATCTGTATCTGTAGACGTTGACAATTGTTACATCTGTGTGGGGGGGTGACCCGCAGTAGCATCAAAGATCAAATAAGATCAAATAGCCTCCAGTAGTCAAACGTGGCAGTGGGAAATCCCCTTTCCAAGTTTGGGAATTTCAATTGCCATGTTTGATGGCCGGAAGGTATGTATATGATCATATACAATATCATACATATATTATATATTAATATATAATATATATATATTATAATACATATTCTCTGAGATTTCATGGTATAATCAGTTATAATCAGTTTAATGATGTTCATGTTGCCCGTCAGAGGAGAGTACTGAGTTACTGTACTGAGACTTGGGCCAGCGAAGGTGATGAAGAGCAAACCGTGGTGTTCCATGGCCTGGAAGGCAAGGTCTGCGACCCCAATAGCTTGGCTTCAGCATTTTTTTCTATGGCTTTCTTCTCATACCTCAGATGCCTTAGCATTTTTTGACAAATTGCTTAGTCAAGCTGTCGATTTGACAATGGTTCTATTATCATTTATATATCATTTATTATCTATGATGTTCTAATTGTTGAATCCAGTGAATGAATGTTCTGACCGGGACCAGCTCCACTGGCTCCACTCCCACCGTTCCTGGCACCGACTCAATGAAAAACCCCTGGCATCAAGTGGCAAGCACTAGCAGTCACTAGCAATCACGGTAAGTGGGAGGATCGAATAAACTATCTATTTACAATGGTAATAATGCGTGTCTAATCATTTCTAATCCATGTTTTCATTGTTACAGTGTCTAATCTGAATCTAAGTGAAACTCCAAGACTGGCTCGGCAGAATGCTGCCTTTTCTGACCAGCACAAGCGGAAGAAACTGGCGTAAAGAATTTGGAAATGCAACAGGCGATTTCTCCTCGACGCATCCGGAAAGAAAGGGAAACAATCCAACACTAGGCATGCTTGACTAATGTTTCTGGATGATGTCGGCATCCAACCGACTCAAAGCAGATGCTTCGTGCAGTGCCTAAAGAGCGAAATCCGCAAGCGCACTGCCCCCCACATGGCCTCGGAAGCCGCGTACAGTAGGATATACGCAGCTGGAATCAGCTGCAGACAATTTGGTCCATCAATCTGTTCAATCCATCAAAAATGATGAGGTTGGGTGAGGCCCAACCTCACATCCTTTGCCATGTTGGATTTGCAAGGGCTGAGCCTTGAGAAATCATCATAAATTGATAAAACACTGATAAGCGTATATAAAAGTATCATTAAAAGCATCATATTGTATCATACATTATCATACCTTGCACATCAACAGTCAGCAGCAGTTCAACTGCCTGCGCTCCTTGCCGATTTGAGCCAGCTCATAGGGGGAGAATCAGATCTAGCCTCGCCCTCATAAACAGCGACTTATCCGCTACGTGCCAAGATGCATCAGCTTTCTCCATGACCTTGCTCATGCTTGAAATTGCTGCCTCGCGCCATTGATGCAATTCCAGTTGTCAAGTTGCTCTTAGCTCTTGACAAAGAGCAAGCATCATAAGCATCCAAACATTTTGAGTTGAGGCAAACAAATTAGAAAACTTACAGACACGTGTCTTCAAACTCCAAAGAAAAGAGGCACCAGTAGATGACCGTCGATGAGCGGGCATTGGGTTGAGGTTGCTGAAGCAATGGTTGTGTGGAATATGAAGTGCTGATATTCCACGATGATATTCCTTAAGTTTGCACCCGCAGAATGTGACAGGGACAATTTGTAGATAATGTCATAATGTTTCATGTCCTCTCCAAAAAAACATACAAACAATGACAAACATACACTCTAATTATGTTGACAGCATGTTCTCACACTGCGAAGCATGAAGGTCAAGGCGGCCTTCGTTTGATCTTTGAGCAGCCCGCGCGTGTCGTAAATCTGCTCCTGAAAGTGAGACCAGCCGATCTTCACTCGCATATTCCATGATAGCTGTGGACATCAAAGGACGCAGTGCTCCAACGAAAACATGGAAACAACACTCTGCACTTGTCTGTCCACTCCCACGCCTGCTCACTGCGTGGGTCATCGGGGTCCTGCTCAGAAAAGCTAGCCGATCCTGCACCCTTCGCTAACTGTTGCAATTGACGAAGGCTTCAAAGTGATCATTTCACCATCATTTTTCTTGGAATTCCAGCGTCTGTGAACCTTCTGAACTGCCATGTCGACTGAGCCAATGTCCCCTAATGATCTACCCTTCGTCCTCCAACCAATCGTCAAGTTGTACTGAAAAGCTATCGCGTTCCGCGTCTTCCTCATGAAAAGTTGCTTAACAGTTGTTTCGCAATATATAGATATATATATAGAGAAACCAACACTTTCAAACCCAAAAAACACAACAGTAAAACAGTACGGTATGTCCATCTTCAGATCCGAGGTCAGTCTAAGTCTGCCAGCCATGGAATGGATATACCATTGATGCACCCCATCCTTTTAAGTGTCCAACGATCAAGAATCGCAAACGACGCGGTGAGTCCACAGAGGGCAACTGCATCAGAAATGGAAACAAAATGCTTGACAAATGTCAATCAAATGACTGCCATATTTGAATATGCAAATATAAATATTACATATATGATATATGATATATAATATACTATCATTTTCTATCATCATGGATTATATTATAAATTATTATAATATATCTGTATACAGCTGTCAAAATGTGGGTTTTACATTTCTATGACAACATGCAACCTACATTGTGGCGAGTAGTGGGACTCGGCCCTATACTTTACTCATGTCAATTCCCCAGACTTTGCCTGCTTCAGCATGGACACAGCTTCCACAGTTTGTCGGAAAGTTCTTGCCTCATCAAAAAAAACAAAATGGTCAGCGGGTATTGCGACAGTTGAAATGCTGTTGGGATACATTCCTCAAGAGTCAAGAGTGTTCAGTGCCAAAATCTGCCTTAGATACATCGCCTTAAGAACTAGATTTTCATGTTCATCTTCGCTCTTGCTGGGGGCCCTTGCCCACGCGCGGAAGACTTTGGTCAAAATCCGTGGGTTGATCATCTTTGCCTGAAGCCCATGAGGCCAAATGTAAGACTTGACTCACAACTGATGTCAACCCAAGATGTTCACGCCTTTCTTCAACCGTGCTGCACGGTGCTCCCAGATACTCCAATGGGCATTCAATGGGGTATGTTGCCAAGCTGCCAAAGACCTCTTCCGCACCGCTTCCAAGGCTGGCAGGGCTGGTGCACGTGCTATGCTATGCTGGGGATATGGGAAGATAACGCCACAGCTGAGCCGCATTCGGTTGTATATGTTGTATTAGTTTGGAGTCTGATTGACTCAAAGTGCTTGTACCTGCAATGTAGTTTCAGCAGCTTCAAAAGTCTGGCTTGTTTAAAACTAGACACTGGATGATACTGAAAAAATACTGGTCGATCTGAGTCTGGCTGTCTGGGTAGATGCGACACAGCTTCATGATATTCTAGGTACATCATGGCACATCTTCACATTGTCAAAATACATAGCAAAAACCAAAGAAATCTATATAGACATATAAATGTAAACTTGAGCCATCAGCAAATTTGTATGGTTTAATCATGGGTCTGAGAACCAAAATGATCCACTCAAGCAAACGCCTCTCTCAGCTTTTAGCCTTTCAGCGTCCTGCAAGAAAGACAACATGAGTTCCGTATGTCACATTATGAAAATTACATTATAATACATTATATATGTACATCCGATCCGTACATCCATTGTATAATTTAAGTATAATGGTCCTAGCGGCTTCCGATGATCTCGTGGACAAGGTCTATAAGATTCTATAATTCTATAAGAGTCAATGTGCTAATGACAGCTGGCCTCACGCCTGCCAAAATCTCACTGCCCTGCACATCCTGAGAACTGATCTCGGACTGCAAATAGGCCCGTTGAAGAGTACCCTGCGTCCTGTGTGCAAGGCAAGCCATGTGTGATTTCTGGACCAATCTGGACCAAATGCCGAAAAACTCACTTTGCATCTTGGCGAGGCAAATGATAAAGAGTCATAAAGGAGATCAACAACCAAGTATGATATGGATCCCAGCTGTTTTGTTTTGCCATTTCGCAACTCCAAGACTTGAACGATGCCCCTCATCCTTCACAGTGTCCAACTGAAAGAGGTGTCTTCGACCTCACAGCATCTGGTCCCATCTGCTGCCTGAGTTTTTCCTTCTCCATCTGCAGCTCTTCTTGTAGTGCTTCCACCGCCAACTGGGAGTTATTGGCACCTTGGTTGCTATGGAATTTCTGGCATCAAGCCAGATCTCAGATCTGCCGGCTTCAAGAGAAACCATATCAGCAATTTCCCAACACTATTTCCAGCCAAAAAAAATGCCATAGATGGGGATTGCATGGGATACCATGGGAAATTCGCCAATCATAAACCAAACAAACCAACAAAATCCTACAAATATGGGGAATGTCAGGAATGTCGGGAATGTCAATAAAGAATGGCCTAAGGAACATCAAACATGCGCCAAGATATCTGCCAAGTGACTCTCGATGGCTGCCTGGCGTTCCTGATACAGCTGATCACGCAGAAGCTGAATCTTCATGTGTAGATCGCTCCTGAGGATTTTCAGCAACTTCGATAGTGAATTACAGTGAATTCATGCAATTTCGATGCATTTTACATTATTCGACGTCTACTGCACATCCATGTCTAGTGACTCCAGTGTGTAAAGTATTCAAAGATATTCAAAGTATTCAAATCGCACACAAATAAGATCAACTGATCCAAAGCAATGTGCTGGGGTGTTGCAACCGTTAATAACGGCCACCCATCTGTCATGTATATCTCTCCCGCCTCTCTCGAATCCAGCCTTCCAAGGCAGTGTCAAAGCGGTGACCATAGATATAATTTTGGCATGATAGGATGCCTACATAGTTACATATTATACATGATATATTGATTCAATCTATGATATGTATATATAAATATAATATGTATATATAATATGTGTATCTATATATAATATGAATATAACGTATAATATATACAATATGAATGTATATATATATATATTTACATACGACTAGCATAAATATGAATATATATATATATATATACACATATTATAAATATGCTGTGTGAAGATATAGGTGTTGAACATGTCTTGTAGCGCCTTGAAGTCCATGGCCCCTTGGCACATCCAAGTCGATCAAGTCAACCTGATATCTGCAAAATGATGCTCAGATATGCCCAAATTCAAGACCGATGGACACCTATGGAATCTTCATGCATCAGCATGTGCTCAGCATGTGCTAAGCATGTGCTGAGCAATGTTTGCGGTCTTTAAACATCTTTCAAGTGTATTTAAGTGTCAGCACCCCAGCCAAATGAACCGTTCAGATCTGTTGTACGCGGACCTGCCTTGCCATCGGCAGCCTTTCCCTGAGGGCTTGAAGCATCGGGTGATATGAGGAGATTGATCAATCATCTTGCTACTAATCCTGGTGACTTGGTGATCTTGTTAGGTTTCCCCTGAGTTTTGCACCCGAAACATCCAAAAACACTCAACGAAGAAACTGAACATTCTCCAATTTAGTTCTCTACCATTCTCTACATACATTGAACATTGGACACCTGTTTCTGGGTGGTCAGTAGCACCTACGGAACCCAATAGTATTCAGCTATCCACCTTAAAATCAGAGGCCAAGTTTGATACAACTCGGAAAAATCAAAATAATGTACATATACATCCATCAATATGCATCCATGATAGATGGATCCAACATCCAACATTAACCATTTCTGTGCATCTAGATGATGATTCATGGCATGCTACATATGCTACCATTTCGTACCAATCACAGCATTTTCGTTTGCCATCCCTGAACTTCAGCACCTTCTCACCAGGGACTGGCCCCAAAGTCTCCCATGAGGCATAGCCCCTTTGTCTCACCTGGAACCGCATCACTGACGCCTAGTGGCTATCAAGTATTTTGCATGACATGCCTTTAACATGAAACGCCCTTCCAGCAGCTGGAGAACAGAAGCTTGAGAGACTTGTTGCTACTCAGAATAGTTTTGTTTAGTTTCTACCCATCCTGAAGCTCAAACGCTGAATCAGATTAAATTTGGAACAGGTTTCCTCGGTTTTTTTTTTCAGATTTCAATTTCCCGGGGATTTTTTTTCAGGCACTCTGCTCTGCTGCAGAAAACACCACCAACCTGCAAGAGGCTGCGCAAAACTTTTCGTGCAGGAACATGCTCTCGTCTCAACCCAGAAAAAAAACACCAAAACTGCATGCGCCAGATTTAAGGTTCATTAGGGTTTGATTATGGTTCATTTCCGTTGCGTTTGGTGTTTATTTAGGGTTGGTGTGTGAACTAGGTTCTGTTTCTGGTGTTTCTTTCGGGTTGCTTTGGGGTTTAGTTGGGACTGGTTTAGGGCTTGTTTAGGGTTGGTTGAAGGTTTGTTTAGGTTTGGCTTCCGGTTGATTTAGTTTTTTTTTTTCCGGATAGGTTTGAAGTTGATTTAGTGTTTGTTTGGGGTTTATTTGCTCTAAGTTTTGGGATTATTTAGGTTTTGTTTAAGAAGCATATAATTATAAGGTTATCCATGTGTATATTTAGGTTGGTTTGAGATTTATTCAAGGTTGGCTTTAAGATTTAAAGATATCTAAGGTATTTGGGGGTTTTGTGTATGGTTGGTTTTAAGTGTTTATCTAAGGTTGGTCTACAGTAGGATGTTGATTCAGGGTTGGAGTTTACTTAAATTTGGTTTAAGTTGATTTCGGGTTGGTTTAGGGTGTTTATTTTTTAGATTTGGTGTAAATTTGTTGAGGGTTCTTTGCGGTTTATTTTAGAGTTGGGTTATGGAAAATTTAGACTTGGGTTTATTGAAATTTGGTTTCAGCTGTTTCTTTTGGGTACGTTCAAGCTTTATTTAGGTTTGGTTTCAGGGTCTATTCAAAGTTGGTTTACGGGGTTATTTGGGGCTGGTTTGATGATTCTCTTGAATTGGTTTCAGGAGTTTCTTTTAGGTTCCGTTATTGTTTTTCGGGGTTTAGGGTCATAATTTAAGGTTGGCTTAGGTTTGATTTAGGCTTCGTTTAGGATTTTATTTATGGGTGGCTTATGGATTAAAGTTGATTTCGGGATCTAAGTAATAACCTTTTGAGAGTTGGTTTCGGGTTTATTTACGGTTGGTTTAAGGTGTTAATTGATGGTTGGTTCAGCTTGTTTATTTATGGATGGCTTGGGATTTATTTAGGGTAGGTTTAAGGTGTTTTAAGGTTTGTTTGGGATTCAGGGTTTCTTTACGTTTGGTTTTGGGTTTGCTTAGGGTTGACTTAAGGTTGATTTGGGGTTTGTTTGAAAGTTGTTTTTCTCCATAGGTTTCTGTTTGGTGTCAGCTTTGTGTACGTTTATGGTTTCTTTAGGTTTGATTTAAGATAACTGTTTAGGGTTGGTTTTAAGATTTAAATTTGGTTTCCGTTGTAGGTTTAAGGTGTTTTGGTTTGGATTGGTTCAAAGTGTTTCTTGCGGGTTGGCTTAGGGTTTATTGAGTCCGGCTTAGTTTTATTTCGGGTTGGTCTAGGGTTTTTGTTTGGAGCTGGTTTGAATCACTAAGGGTTTGTTTGTGGTTTATCTAAATTTGAAGTCTATTTATGTTTGGTATAGAGTTTGTTCAGGGTCTATTAAATTTGGTTTGCGGGGTTGTTTGGGCTGGTTTAAAGTTTAATGAGGCTACTTGCAGCATTGGGGATCATTAGGGTATAGGTTTAGGGTGTTTATTCCGGGTTGGATTATGTTTGCTGGCTTGCTGGCTGGCTGTCCTCCCTCCCTCCCTTCCCTTGCTGGCTTGTTTGCTTGCTTGCTAGCTGGCTTGCTTGATTCCTTGCTTGCTTGCTTGCTTGCTCCCTTCCTGCCGCACTACCTTTAAGGATAGGTTTCTGAAAAAATACTGGGGGAATTTGAAAAAAAATCCGGGAAAAATACGTAGCCACTAAAATGATGCAGTGGACAACTCTGAAATGGCCAATTTGGCAACTCAATGCAATAGATTGCCAACTGGCGGCTTGCGGCCGTTTTCCAGTGATTGCTCAGTGACGATAGAAGGGAGAGAAAAATGAGAGGTTAGTGGCTAGTGCTCCAATCAATACCCCTTGTTTGTGACTCTAGTTGTTGGGATTAATATGGATTCATCATATTAATTATATATATTATATAATATTGTATGTATATATATATATGTTAATTATATTACGTAACTATATTTTACTATATTAACACAATATTGGATTTGTATGGATTGTGAGTTCCTGACAGTTCCCGGCTGTTGCAACTGGCTGAAATGTGAAGAAAGAATGGGCAGCCGCACAGTGTGGCCACGCCGAGATTGCACGGGCTGTAGCCCTTGGCGAGTTTCTGCAACCTGATGGGCCCGAACCAAGGCGTGCAAAACGGATCAATAAGGTACAGTCATGCGGAAGGGAGCGTGGAGCAGCGGAGCATATCCATATGGCATATCATACTATATACTTGGCTATCCAGCTATAATATTGTATCTATGGTTACTAACTTGTTATTTTTTAAAGCTTTTTCTTTCGAACTCGTCCAAAAGAAAACACGTCTTATGCTTGAGCTTTACTGATTTTACTGGCATCAAAGCAAATCAAAGGCACGGCCTGGCGCTCTTCGGGAGCCTGTCAATGGACAAACATCACTGTACGATGCTGAGCTGCTGTACATCATGGCCACCTCATACCTGTATGATGCAATCTGATGCCAAGATCCAAGAAGCTGCTTGCAGCTTCCCTATGATGATTATGCCTCGTGCAAACTGAATTTTGGTGGGCACACTTTCTGAGGGCACACTTTCTGACGCAAAGGCATTATTCTCGGAATCTTCAGATATGTCCCCAGCGCAAATCTGTTGGCGGCTGCGCGTATTAATTAGCTTGGCTGAATGGAGGAAGGGTGTCAAGCCCTCGGCTCTTGCTCATTCCAAACCTCCACTTTCAGCCAAACAGAGATCATTAGACCCTTTGGGCCATATCTGATCAATCTCTAACATGACAAAGTGACCGTGGCTGTGATATCATGTGGCTGTGATTTGGTTCAATTCCGACTGATCAAGACCGGACTCTGTACATCTGGACGGAGTTCGACCAGCTCGTCTCAAGGCTTGCGCCATTGGCACGTAGTCCGCGAGATCAAAATAACTTGGAGATGCCTTCTTAGGATTATCTAGGGCCTTCAGTCTCTAGATCTATGAGTTGTTTTTCTGAGACAGAATGAGTGTTTATGCAGTGCCAGAGCTAAGGGAAGCAAGACACAAACTCAAAAAACTGCTATTCAATATTGATATATGAAACATTTATGAAACATTATGAAACATTATGAAACAACATTCGACATAGATCTGGCATAGCCCTAACCCGCATCCCCGGCCGCAAGCTTCGGCTTGCGGGACGTTCCTGATATTTCGGCAGCGCTTTTGGCGGTGCTAAATTCATGAGGCTCGTGCATGACAGTCCAGCTGTACCTTCTGTGATCTTGCTTTCAAATCTTTCAGCCCACGATGAAAACTCAAAACTGCGGCTCATCTCACTTCTCTGCATGTTGTTTCAATCCACCACACAAAAGCTGGTGAAACATGGTGAAACATGGTGAACCCCCCCCAAACCACCAATACCAACCTTATCCCTCGTCGAAACAGCATAATCATACACATGAATGACAATAATGACGCTGGCCATAGGTTGCAATTTGTTGTACCTCACATCCAGCAGCTTTCTCTGCTTCGTTCATACCATTCACAAAGAACACACAGCTGGAAGCCGCATGCCTGTACAAAGACATAGAAAGACTCTGTTCACACACAGCTCTGCGAGTGTGAGTATGTCCAGCCCTAGCTACAAATTTGCACGCAACACTGCACGCAACACGGCATATTCATGCATATTCATAGTCCAAACAAGTTCCCAAAATGGCACCGTTGGCACCAAAGATTTGTCGACATGTCCAATCACCAACGAAATTTGCCCGCAATTTTGCACAAAGATTTTGTTTTCCTCTTCAAGTGTTGCACTTCACCTCTTCAGCAAATGCCGGTTTGGACTAACCAAACTTGGCAATCATCCACTAATACTGCAGAACTGATACTGCACAAATACGGTAGAAAGCACAGGTTCCAAATGCGTTGTTTGATCGACTGTGTCTTCCTGTACGTGCCCTTTGCGGCACACAAACCGAGCATAAATTAAAGTGCTACAATAATAACCGCGACAACTTTCTCTGCGGATCAAACAAGACTCACATAACTGGAAATGACTTGATTCGACTCAATTAATCTTAATTATCTTAATTATTGTTCGATGGATTTCGTCAATCACAACAATCATGCATCATACACAGAGAACGTCTTAATCCTTCACTTTTTCGCAGGCCAAACGCCAGCCTTCAAGTGCTCAAAGGCTGACTTGAAAAGACACATGGGCGATTCCAGCACCGCAACTTACACCACTGCCACTTGAGCAAAATCAGTGGGTTCTGCGTGCAGTTGAGCTTGATCAGTCTTGATCACCGCACTACAGGAGGAGCCTTGGCAAGACATGCAAGTAGACGGCACGAAACTTGAAGGGCAAACTATTGGTGCTGAAACTAAGGTTGCTTCAAAATCCAGAGATATTCACTGAGTTTATCTAAGTTTACTTGAACAGGTAAAAACCTAGCAGTGTGGTACTTGTATCTCCAAGATATCCAAGATTCAGCACCAAGATCATTCAAACTGGCAGTTGAACAGTCTGACCTAACCCGTGGTCAGTGTGTTCCTAAGCACATTCAAAGAGCTTAGGGCTGTAAACAAGACTCTTTAGACCCCTTTATACCTCTTTGATCCTCTTTGAATATTTGTATCTCTCTTCATATTTCTCTACAACTCTTCAGACGTCTTCAGACGTCTTCATGATTCTACAGTTCCTGACCTGCAAACTTTGGACATTTCCACAACTTCCAATCTCGCCAAGCCAGCGACGAACACGACAATGCAGGAGTACCTCCCCGTGTCTTTAACCGAGCTGGGACAAAGTACTTTGCGGTTGTCCAATCTTGTATAATTTTGCCCGCTGAGAGATTTGAGCTTGTGACTGAATGAACATCTCAAAAAGGTGTCTATCTGAATCAAATGTTTCCAATGCTGGAAGTTTATTCAATTTTCCTAGTTTCAAACTTCAGAAGAGTTGCTGATATTTACCGTTTACCGTTTACATCTGTTTACGCCATTCTATATAATCCAATGCCCAAACCTTGCCAAACTGCAAAATCAACAGCCAAGCCTTTGGCGTCGTTTGCGTCTCCGCGCCTGAGGAATGCTGAGAGTTTGCTGACTCTTTGAAGACTCAGTATGGCTCTCTTGATCTTTGAAGACGTTTGAAGACATAAAGATGCCGATCTTGGAGGATGTTCAGAAACGCAATCCAATCTTAAACTGCCTATAGCCATAGCCACCCCTACTTGGGAATAATGCGGCTCAATGTGGGGGCACATACAAAGCATGGGCCAAACTGTCCAAATGGGCTACTCTACTCTGCAATCTGAGGTCTTTCCAAATGATTTGGGGGTCAAAAGTGTTGTATGCTCAATGCTGGCGCTGTATGCCTTGAATCCAATCGACTTCACTAGATCATCGGTGATCATCAGCGATCATAGGTCATCGCAGTTATGTTCTGTTCCTGCCAAGTTTCCGTGGGGATCGTTGCATCTTCCGGAGAGCTTGAACTTGAACTTTGACTTGACGAATCTTCGCCCAGTTGCCTAAAGTTGGAAATTGCACCTCTGCAACTTTCAATGGTCTCATATGGTCTCACAGGGAAGCCCCCTTGCTACAAGCTGCCAAATACACCCAAGACATCTTAGTCTTAAATATGCTTCAAAGATCTTCAAAGCGCTTGTAGAAACGCTGCTGCCTGATCTCTTTGGACATCGCAAACCTTACAATCCTCATGCGAAAACAAGCGGCTCTTCCAGCTGCAACCTTAGTTTCAATTTCGAGTGGCTTCCAGCAGAATGAACAACAGCTTGAACCCATCCCTCCCACGACTCTACCCACCAGCAAAAAATGTTGGCAAGAGATCACCACAATAAGATCTGTTCTGCACAAGGCATGCACCTTATCTGATAAGGTACTTTGTCTGCTCCATGCAAATCAAAAGATTTCTTAGGCCTTTGAGATAGAGATCATATTTCATCCAAAAGCCAAAGTGTACTTTTCCAGTCTGCTCAACACCATGTTCTAACTACACTTAATTGATCACTGTTTTCAACAGCATGATGATCGAACATTTAACTTTTAAGAAGAACATTTCGCATGTTAACCAAAAACACAAACAACAAACTCCCAACCCGTGCTTCAACCAAGCTACCAAATAACAGCAGCTGCCTCGAACAAGAGTGAGTGCTATCAAACAACACCAGGCTGTGTAGGGGGATGGCCATGCAATGTTGAGGGAAGAGTTGGGGGATTTATGGGGATTTGAATAAGAGGCTACGGATGGACTGGTTTAGGAACTGTGACTTGTAACTACGCACAGACTTTGTTCCGTTTTGTTCGATCTGGGAAATGGAGAGTGAATATCATTTTTGAAAAAACTGAACTATGCAATGAAGTTATGGCACCAATGTGAAGGTCGAAGTTGACCTGCATTGCTTGCATGTTTTTCCTAGCCCGTCAGTCCATCTCTGCCAACTTCTGTTTCTCTCAATTCAAGTCCCGATCTGCCCCTCCAAAGCCAGAGAGCATCTGAGTATCCACAGATTTTGCAGTAAATTACCAGATAAATGCCAAATATCTATAAATTCCCATAAATTCCCCATGGATTAACTTAACCATGAACTTAACCATGGGGAACCCATGAGGAACCCATGGGTTTCCCCATGGGTTTCCCATGGATTGACCCCACCGCCATGGTGTGATCCAAGCTGCGGCAGCTGCTTCCAAGGACAGGCCCGATTCAGCTTTGAAGCGTGGCCTCGAACGCCGAGCGGCTGGCCAGCCTGGACAGGAAATCTTCGGATGGGAGAACTCCCGGGGGAGAAACGCAACTGGCAACGACTCCGATCTATATAATATGCGTTATATATATATATATATATATGGTCTCGTGTTCCGTGTTCCTACCCCACCCAATGGTATGCATCCCCAGGTAGCACCCCCTTCCCTTCTATTTGCAAGCTATTGGCAGCATTTCTGAGGTCCAGCCTCGTATTTGCTAGGTGTTTGCAGCATTTCTGACTACCAGCCTCGTATTTACTAGGTACATGCTACCTTTTAGACGACCTACGTAGCACACATACTCCCTCAAAGTACCTACGTGCTACCTATAGTCATATATACATGTGCTATGTATCTACTTCCTATTTACTACCTGTGTACTCTCACAACACTACATGTGTTTAACATATACCGTACCTACCATACGTTCCAATGATACCATACATACCATACGAACTTTGACAATACATACCATACCTATCATACCTATCATACATACCACACATACCATACATATGAAACATAACTACCACACCTACCAAACATACATGCCATACATACCATACCTACCTTACATAGCAAACATTCCATACCTGTCATAGTAACCATACATACCATACAGACCATACATACTGTTATATCAAACATACTATACCCAACAGAATTACATCACCATACCTACCATCCATGCAATACCAACCATTGATGCCATACATACCATACCTACCATACATACCAAACATACCATACATTCCAAACATACAATACATACCATACCAACCATACATGCCAAATATACCATACTTATCAAACATAACGTACATGAGATAATTACATACCATACTCACCATACCCACCATGCCATATATATTGTCATACATACACTACACCCCCCCGCACCACGCCCTCCGCACCACACACCCCCCACCACACCACAGGGGGGAAGGGGGACAGTACTATGGCTGACCCATGACCATGGCCGGGGGGGAGGGGGGTTGGAACGCTGGACCATATTATATACATATGTATATATGTATACATCTTATACGTTATATAAGCTATATAACCTGATCACTGTTTTTCATGTGTTATTTATCCAATGACTCATGACAAATCTAATATTGTGGAATATTGATGACTATTGTGGAATGTCGCAGGACAGATCGGGACAGCATGGACATTGCGACACCAACCAGCCCTGCCTGCATCACGTGCAGCACCTCCAGACTTCCAAGGAACCAAAGCTTGATTGGTGCTGGACGTGGGAATCTGCACCTGTCCAGCTTGTTCGTCGTGTGTCCATGAGTCATTGAACCATGTTCTATAGGATGTTTCAGATTTCCTTAGAGTTCCTTTACGCTCCACTTTCAGCTTCACCATCTTGAATGCAAGAACACCGAGCCACTCACTTCAGTATTCAGATCAGCCAACGATTTCTTGATCGAATTTGCGGCGTTTTGAGGCTAGCACATACCTTATCATACCGTAGGTAATACCTTGCTCGTTCTTACTCAGCAACAAAATCTAACTTCAGTTTCCCTTGCCGCTCTTGCCTTCAACATGTCAGCCATATCCAATGGGCTGCGCCAGCAGGAAGGGGTTCCACCCTTGAGCAGCTCTGCGGTTCTGGAGCAGGAAGTGCAACTGGAAGGATGCGCAGAAAATATGAATGTGCACAGAGTGCACAGCATCCCATAAACCAGAAAATAGATGAAAGATGATAAACATATTGGCGGACAGAATTACTTACTACTCGCAATGGACATGCCTAAAGTGGGTGGTCCCCTATCGGTTGTGAAGGTTTGTGCTTCCAAGCTATGTGTAGAAATAGGGTATCGGTAAGTGGGTGGTCCCCTATCGGTTGTCAAGGTTTCACACAAATTTGAACATCCCAAGTCCACTCCCTACTACTTTAGTCTTCGGCTAATTTTGTCGGTTACTCATATGGTATTTCGTCTTAGCTTGACAGAATGGCACAGCAATGCATACAAATCACAATTTCTGTGAAACATGACTGCTGGATCACCTGCTCGTGAAACATCTCGTGAATGGATAGTTAGACACTTGTTGCCATGTCATTTCCAGTAGCAGTGGCATGTTGATATGTCCACGTCCATTTGTTCAGTAGATTTTGTCCATGCCCGGGCCTGCACTTCTGGCGGAACATCAGCCTGATGGAGTCCATTTTCGGCTCTGTTGCAAGTGCTTGTGGAAGTAACGTAGATTAAATATAGACATCAGCTAATGATGCAAAATGAATCAAAATGGCACCATCTGGCGAAAGCTACAGTTGCGTTTGCAAGCATTCATCCGAAGAAAGGTGCAGCTTCCAGTCCATCTTATCAGAAAACCAACTATCCAAATGTCCCCTTCATGTCCAAGAATATCATATATATATATTGTATATATATGCTATAGACATATATATATAAGATAATATTATTATACGATCAACATATTCCGCATTCAAACACCGAACCACTCAACAACTCTTCTAGGCTATTCCTGTCATGGAGTTCAGTTCTGTGCCTGCCGCTTCTTCTCCTGGTGGAGTAGCACGCAGCATTCCCAAAACACACAGGTCGCAGAGAACAGCCACGGGCGCCTTGACCATATCCTCCCAAGCCTTGCTTCAGAGATTGATCGGTAGTGGCATTAGTCTCGCTTAGGAAATTGGCGGTGTTTTAGATGTTGATTTCAAACCCATTATCAACAGAACATGCCATCCGTTTGCTAACAGAACATGGCTCCAACAATCTATATAATGGCTGTCCAACCTGCCGATTTGAGATGCTTCTCCACTTGGTCAAAATGTTCGATCAAATCTGATGACATAAAGAAATTCAGCATTTGCTTTGACTGACACCTGCATTGCTACAAACTATCGCAAACTATCGATAGACGGGCTTAATCCCGAAAGATGGTTTGCCCATGTTTGCCCAGTAGGACACACACAGAAAAACTGAATCCGTCATCCATCAGCTGCGTCACACCTGCCAAGCCAACCGCAAGTGGAGCAGTTCTTGCGTGCGCAAGTGCCTGGCAAATCCGGGAGATCCAGATGTTTCGAGGCTTGTCAGCAAAGTATTGCATTACATAAAAATCATAAAATATCATAAAATAAGATATGAATTATGTGTGTTTTATAGCTATAATGTATATTTATACAGTATATATAATTAATATAATTAATGATTAATTGTCATATATATTATATATAATGCACAACCATCAAACTATTGCTATTGCAATCAAATCACATTTCCACATCTTTGCGTGCTTAGTCGTCATGACAGACTGAGAGCTGCCGAGCGATTGAATGTGCTCTTGAACATACACTCTGGGGCGGTCCTACAGTAGAATCGCTACCGGTGTATTTGTCTGATATCATATGCCAAGAAACGTTGAACAGCATGCAGAAGCATTGGTATCGTTGTTCTATTGTTATGAAATGTCACGAAGTCTTCAATACGTCCAAGAGTACCAAGAATCTGCGGAAATGCACACAACATCTCTGTTGCACACGTTGGTAGCAGCAAAAACTACAAAGGGGACCCCTAAACAAAGGGCCAGACTGTCCAAACCCTTGGTGCAACCGAGTTTTTGATTCAATTGATCGAATCCAGCAGGGCACCCATAGCGTGCCTTTCCACTTTGACTTCCACTTTGGAAATTCGTTGCCCCTGCCGCGGACACGTGCCCAGCATTTGCCACGGTCAAAACAATCACGATATCAGCATGTCAGCTCACTGGATCTCTGAGGTGAGCAAAAGAGCCAATGCCAAGAAAACATGAGAAAACCACGTCAGCTGTCAACCGCCTTCTGCGAGAGCCACAAGCTTTCTGCCAATGCCTGTGCACATTGAAACAAAGATTCAACATAAGAATAGTTATATAATGTTATATACATATATAATAATGTTATATAAATGCCGTGTATGCTGTATGTCACAATTACCACCAAGTGGCAAGGGAAACGCATCTCAGTCTGATGCGTAATTGCATAACAAAGGTGTAGCGGCTAGTAGCGTACAAACACTCTCCATCTCTTACTTGGCCTTACTTTCTCGAATCCAAAAAATCAGCTTTGGAAGTAAGCGTTGTACATGTTGTACATGATAGAAACAACATCCAGCAATAATCATGAAACAAATAGTCAGACTATCATACTAGGTGAGTTGTGGCCAAAACTCCCCTCTATGGTCCAACACAAAGCAAATGCCAGGACATGAGGGGTGCCATGGGGTGCTATGGAGTGCCTGTTCTGCATCTGCAAGGCGCTGTTCTGTGGCATCGGGCTGAGCCTGTGAGTCGTCACATTGGTGACGGAATCGGTGTTCGATGAAGCGTACTGAACAATCTGAACATTCAACGAAGATTCAACAAAGTCAACAAATCGTGCTTGATCCATCTTGATCTTCGAGCTGTTTACCTTTGATGCGACTTGTCCAACGATGTTCAAGGCTTGCTTGAGCAAGCCGTTGTGTGAAACCCACTCAAATCAACGCTTCACATGCATGGAACGACATGGAACCAGCTAGAATCAGCTAGAAAAAATCTCTCCACTTTTGTGGATGATCTAGCTTTCACAGTCTCTCTGCTGCGTCTTGCGAATCTTCCGAAGCAGGGTAATCAAAAGCTAAATGATCTTCGGGAATAACGACAGACTCGATCCGTACCAAACGGGAGAATAGGTTCTGGAAGGCTCTTCGCTGCTCCTGGTGCCACATTAAAATACAATGTTAGCCATCAGTAAACAAAACAAAAGATTGTCAAAGGAACGTCCAAACGGTTCCGGCAATGCTCAAACTACCTGCTTTATATAACATATAATTACTATCATATACTATTCATCCAACTCAGACTCTGCAACATGTATTTGCAGAATGCTGCCTTTTCTCCTCAAACATGTTCATCCTTCACTATCTCTAATCAACATGCGCCGCCCCGTCCTTATTCATCAAATGGGTCGTGAACATGACCGTCTGCAAATCAATACTTGTTGCTGCGCCCTTCATTCGAACACACGCATTCGCAAATGTGTGTGCATCAATCGTTTCTTCACCTTGCAGTTCCACAAGCATTTTGAAAAATGTCTCCGCGTTTTTGATGTCAATGCCTTAGCTAGGCACAAACCAAACGCACTCTCGGGAGTTTGAGGCCTGAGGGTCTTCAACCTCCCAAGTAATAGGATCGTAATAGTGGGTTTCTGAGAACAAATTGTCGTCAAACGCATGTGATCACCAACCTCAAACTTGCCATGCACATATTGCATCCGTCGGTGCACCCATCAGGTTCCGTTGCTCCACATATAACATAATATTCATGATATTGATATCCATAAAGTTGGAACAGCAGTCCCTCAAGTCAAATAACGCAACTCATGTTACATTGTAAATATTGATAAACTAGGCAAAATAAAAATAAATAATTAATCTCATGCCACATCATGCCATATCTATAGACGCGATGGTATTGGATGTTATTGGCATTTTCATGTCAATGTGTATGCAATCAAATATTACATATTATATGATATTCTATGTACATTACAGAATACATGTAATTAATGTACATCTGTACTCAGTAGCATCATATATCATCATATATCCTTATACAACACTATACATCATCATTGCATCATTATGACATATCCAAGTAGACATGTCACATGACTTGTCTGTCCCTTTTCATCGGCATACATTGGCATGTGCTGAACAGATTGACATACTCTGGTAAACTAACATAGCTATGGAAAATCACCATTTTTAATGGGTAAATCCACTATTTCTATGGTCATTTTCAATAAACTGCCGAAGCACCCCTAGTTTGAAGGTACGATCGAAACTCGTCCGTCTCCACGAGCTTCCGGAACTCTTCTAAGCCAAGGTGTTCGCGACCTTGCTCGTCGGTGAGCAACATCTTCTTGAAGAGTGTTGCCAGCATTCGGCAGTCTTCAAAATCCTCCACAAAAAGGGAAAGGACTAGAAAGCCTAGAAAGCCATATGAAGCATATGAATGCATATGATACATATATTATGTACATTTATGTACACTGTATGCGGTGAAGACAGTTCCAAACAATACTAGAAAGGACCCAGCATCCATGATTTTGACTCCCAAACAAACAAAGCCACCAACAATCCTTGACAAATTGATCCAAACAAAGTTAAAGAAAAAAGATGCTGTTTTGGAACAGACTCTTGAAGCTGCTGTTCCAGGATGAGCATGTCAACATCAGGCTGGGCAAGTTTGAGTGCCTTCTCCACAAAGCTGCTTGTCCTCGTGTTCCGAGACAATCCAGGAAAAAGTCCGCAAACCTTTTTCTTGGGACACTACAAAAGCATTGACTGGCAGAAAAATGTGTTGGGAAGGATTGCGAAAAAAGGAAAAAAAATATCTCAGATAAGTGTCACGATGTTCCAGACAGAAATGAATACAAAAGCAATATATAGTAGAAAGGAGACCGGCAAGAAGCTTCCAGTCTCTTGCAAGGCTTTGTAAGGTTCATTCCAGTCTACTCCGGAAGTGCATGATTGGAACAGAGTCACCACAGTTACACCCACAGAACTGAAGTACGTTTGCAGACCTCCTTCCGCACATCCGGCACCCTGATCGCTTGAAGGCTTTGCCTCTTGAAGGTGTTGAACGACGCCTTGTTGGAGGAGAAGGGCGAAAACATACATGACGAAAAGCAGCATGATGAGGCACCAGAAGACATTCATCAACGATCCGACCACACAATCCAACATCAATCTGAGCTCGCTAAAGAATCTCAGCGTACGGAAGACACGCAGAATCTTCACGATTTTGCACAAACGGAGCAGCCTCAAGAAGCCAAGGTTGACACCTGATCTACCGGATTCTCCGCTTTCTTCGCTTGTGCTCAACAGAACAAACGACAGGATATTCTCGATGATCGAAAAGAGCACCAGCACAAAGTCAAACCTGGAAAATGCAAACAAAATATTTAAAAATGCAAAGACACTGTAGTATCTAGAACCAAATAAAATCTTAGGATATCTTCGGTTTAGGTTTATTTCTGTTCAATTGAACATTAGGAAAAAAAAAAACACATTACAACAAAAACATGCAAGTTCAAATCAAGTGTATACTTTCTGTTTGCGAGGAACCAATTCCAAGCCATTTCCGCGTTCCAAAAGAAGTAAAACCTGTGGACGATAAGCTTCAATAACAGTTCGAAGACGTAGAAAGAGGCCAGCAACAGCTCTGCAACTGAGATTTTCTCGGCATCTGAGGATACTGGCTGGTGGAGATTCTGCATTTCATAATCGGTGGCGTACAAGATGAAGATTGCATTTGCAAAGATGACAGCCTCAAAGCCGGCCCAAATACTCAACCCAACTGGGCCACCAGGGAGTGGTAAGGTGTCAGATCGGATTGTGTCAGGTCATAACATCCCCAGGTTTTGCAATTGGTCAATCACTGTTCTACAACATACTTGCAGTGATTATAGTATAACTAATATAATCAATATTATAATATATTGATATAATAGGGACCAGTGGTACTACTCCGCCACCACCTAACATATCTAACATATCTAGCATTGCTAATACCTGTAGTATTGCTAATGTGTTGTCCGAATGCCAGGATCGAAAAGGAGTTGAGTTCTCTGCGCTTGAGGTACAAGGACTTTTTCCACACCTGGTCCCAACTGTTTAATGCAGGATGATGCAGCATGCCTGAATGAAGGTTCAAGCAACGCCACAAACCATGCCAAAGAAGTTGGATTTGACCACCTTCGCCAAACACCCAGTTCTCTCAGGCTCTTCCAACTGCCAACATCTTTCGAAGGTGTCTACTATGTTCAGAATGCTGTTGGACCACCAGGCACTTCGCTTCTCCTTGGAGCAGTCATGTTTGAGAAAGTTTCAGTACGTGTTCCTCCTCTCGGCGCTGTAGCTACGAGCAAATACATCCACATCATCTACAATCTACAAATATCTACAAATTATTCTACAAATCTACATACACCAAAGCAAGAAATGTATTTGTGAGTCTGAGTGCGCACCTATGCGAGTGGGTGTACCAATGTATCACAGTGTGCCTTTTGCATCCTGTTGCTCTGTTTGTGTGTCGCTGGGTGTCTCCCTTTACATCATGTAACATGTTGATGTGTTTCAAAAATGGATGCTTTGCTATGCTTTGCTGACATGGTTGAAGAGAGCAACTGAGCAAATCAGATCAATTCTCCCAGCAAGTCTCTGTTCCGAAGCTGGTCTTGAGCACATTCACAAGTGTGTTGCGAGGGACCATTTGCTCCTCTTGTCATGCACGGCCCCAAAATCTCACAGGACACTTGAACGGTGGCTAACTGTCGACACAGATTGAAACTTCTATCAACTTCTATCACAAACATTCCCAAACTAGGAAAGAAATGGAAGAGACAGGATCGTCCTAAGCGTTCTTAGTTGAACAAATTGAAATATCTCTCCGCAGCGACATGTGCTGCGTCATGCTGCATCTACCAGACTCTGGCAGAACAGGAATAAACATCCAGAATCATTCAGAAGTACATTGAATTCTTGGTAGCTGTAGCTCTGCTTCCTTAAAGCACTGCTTATTCACCCTCTCCAGCATGACTAGACCATAGACTACTATAGACTGTGGTACATTCTATCATGTCCAGCTGCCGAATTTTTGCCTCCCCCGAGCTTGACCATCCTTTTTCTTGATGCCATTGATGGAGTAGCTTTGGACAGGATCACTTTCCATCGCCATCGTTGTCATAGTGCGACGCGGTTTCGATTGCCCCTTGGATTCATTGGAATGTACTGAGATTCGTCGTGAGATTGACTTGTGCCAGGTACTGTTGGAGTCTTGTGATGCTCGTTCCGAAGGCCGTGACATCACTGGTGACACAGCATTTCTTTCATTCGGCAGCTCGGAACTTTCGGAGATGCCAGGTGGGAGAGGCAAGCGGAGCTTTGGAGACCCTTCCTCATCAAAAACGGCAATCTTTGTGATTCTGGACGTGTCAGGATTGAAGGATCTCAGTTCAGGCCGTTCAGGCGGAGAATCGATTTCACTGTCGTTCCTCAGAGCAACTTCGAAGCTTTGAGGGACTTGACTCTTTCGAAGAGATTGAAGTTCATCACACAATCCTCGCCATCGGGCAACTATTGGCTTCCAAAGAGTCTGTGATTCGTGGACTTAACAAATAAAACTGCACATGAAAAAAAACGCGCATGAGCTTCCCAGAACACTTTTCCCGAAAATATTGTCCAAAACATCTCCAAGTCTCGATTTAAGAGCTTTCCTTCCTTTGATGCTACTGCCTGAAGCTCTTGATGGGCCATTCGACATTGAATAAACAAGCTGGTAGCCACATCGAAGCTGCTTGTCGCATCATCCTTGTTCAACGATGCCATGATACGCGCAGGAATCAACTGAAAGCTCGCTTTCAAGGCATGCACTGGTTGAAACCTGAGGGGCATCTAAGTATATATTCTGATGCATTTTGTTCTTGCCAAATCACTAAGGATTTGCTTCGGTATTGCGATGTCAATCCTGTCTTACATATCCTTTTGAGATTTCAAGGCCTGCAGTGCAAGGTAACACATGGTAAACCTATGAGCTCGAATACAAGTTGGCCTTGCAACCACGCAACTACCAGTTCCAACTTGTTCCAAAGGTCCAAAGGTTGATCTCTGATCTCCTATCAATTGATATCAGCTTCAAGGATTTTCAAGGTTTGCCAACCCATTCCACTGGGAGATATTTCCGCTGGGCCTCTGGAGATGTGTTCGGTGCCTTGGGCGATGAAGGCAATGAGAACGGGTGCAGCTCGGTGAGATCGACATTGACCTCGCCGATATCAGGGCGACAGGACCAGGGAGTAGCTACATCTAAAATCTTTCGCACACATGTGTATATATATACACATATTTAATCATATCTATGTGAACATAATATAACTATAACATATTACTAATTATAAAAATACACATATATATCATATATAGTATAACATAATATAACATAGTCCACAGCTTGTGGATGATGCCTACTTCTTATCCGCAATACCATTTCCAGAATTGCTCAAACGGTCAACGCCCACCTGCCTTGCGAGAAGGTGATGCAGATTTCACCTGCAGGATTCGCAGGCGCTCCACGAGCCCAACCCAACCCATTTCCCCTGCCGTTTCCCCACTGAATCCATGGCCTGACTCTTTGGGCTCACCTGCTCCACTGTGCTCCATGGATGTGTATCCAAACCTTAAACAAACACTATATACTATACATATTATAAATTACTATAATAGGTACCGTGGAATCACAGGCCTATATCAGTTCAGCAAATCTCCAGTGTCAAGAATCACATTGCCATTATTTCAGTGTGCAAATCAGGTCCACAGCACTTCATTCAGCATGTCAAGCCGCATGATTTGGCAAATAATATCAAATAATTATATAACGGGACTAACGTAGACGGTTCCTGCCTGGATGTGTTCAACATTATTTGTCAAGCCGGTTTTAACATGGTTTAACTCCCTGAACGGATAGCACTGGTCTAGATTGATTCAAAGGCCAAGGAATCCAAGGAAGACATAAGATGAACTTGCACACAACTGTTTCTTCGCAGCTGGTTTACCTCTCCACTGCTTTCGTGATGCTTCCGTTCCTCCTGAGACAAAGCAAATAAAGTTGGTCCAAACTTGTGAGATCAAACTCACCCATGGTGCTTGTCGTCACCTCAAACATGGCTAAATGGCCAGTCACTGCTAGTGAATCGTGCAGTTGTGGAGCTTTTCGGATCTCAGAATCTGTCATGCTGTGACTGTGTGAAGCATCTGTCCCCACTTCAAAACTCTCGAAGCGCCCCAATACACAAAACAAAGTTGAATTTGAACCTTAATATAGGTGAATAATCCTTATTAATGTACCTTAATCATCCTTAATCATCATTCATCTCCAGGAATGGCGTGAGAAGTGGCTTGGCAATGCCAAGCCAAGCGTCCTTCAGCCGCATCTCTTCCATCTTCTTTCTGACGAGTGCCGAAGAATGGGCCTGTTGCTGCACACAGCACATGCCACGGAAGGTGATTCCTTATCATTAACGGGATGTATTGATCATCCCCCAATTAATTGATCGCCTCATATTACGTTTAATATGCGGATAATCATTATCCCTGATGGGAACATAAATTGATGATTGGGATGCAACTAAATGTCATATTGACTCCTATTAATATGGATTGATGACCAGCCCCCAAAATAGTTTTGAGTATGGCACATGTCACGATATATCACATCAGTCAAGGAAAGCACTCTGAAGCAAAATTCCGAGTCCGAACCTCGTCCTTCCATTGTAGGAAACATTCGCGGAGCCGACTGCTTCCACCATCCTTTTGCCTCAGCTGAATCAGCCCACTTCGCAAGTAGGAGAGCCACTGAATCACAAGAGGAAAGGATTCAAGGTATGGTAGGTATGATGATAGTTGGGGATTCAAGCCCTTGTGATTGGAGATCATTCGAGATCCACCTTGAAAATTCAAAAACTTTATGCGGCGTACCTCTGGTAACCTGACCTGAGGAAGCAATCTCGTTACGTCCATTGGAGATTGATAATGTTCCGCCCCCTTTCTCTGAACGGAACCACTTGCACATCTGTTGCTATCGACATCATGGTGCAGAATTTGGACCTATCTATACCATGTCCAACCATAGCAGCATAGAAATTGCTTTGACCGGTGGTTTCCACATGTTTGCCGACTGTAAGTCCCTTGGATTCCCTCCCAACATCAGCAAGCCCAGCCTCTGCGGCCATGCTTGCCCTGTCATCCCTGGACACTGGAAATGGCAACATGAAACCGCCTGTGTGGCCATCTGTGGCCTGAGTTCATGCCAGTTTAAAGACATTGTTTCTCCTCTGGATCTGCGTCAAAGGCGAGAGCGTGGAGATGGTTGGAGGATACTGAGGATGGGCTCTTGAAAGCACCACACTTCTTAGCTCACAAAGGACATCCTTAAGGAATCTGGCTCTTGCCTCGAATTCCAAAGTCAAACGCTCGTGGAGATTTTTCCTCCACAGACCCCCAATGCGAGTTTTTGACAGGAACGAGAAAACTTGCAAATGTCCATGCACGCTGTGTGTGACCAACAAAGTTACTATAGGTACTGACTGTGAAAACGTGAGCCTGCTGAAAACAAACAGCACAACTCAAAAGGAAGCTGAACAAAATCTCAAACAAAGTAAAGAGTGAAGATGTCAAAGCTTTGGCACCTCCATGCGTTTTGGCGGAATAAAGGCCTTGTGAAACTGGGACGTGGCAAAATTGAAGATCCATGCCGCGGCAAACACATGCAAACACTTCGTTCAGCGGCAATTCTGGGTGCTGGAACAGCTGATGTCCAGTTTCGACCATGGCGCGGTGCTTTGGCGCCTGGCAGAAACTCGACGTTGCTGCGCCAAGAAGGTTCGCATACTCTCATTAGTAACTGAGAAGTGTTTATGTCTATTAATTAATCAATGTATATATATATATATTATAATAGAGAGAGAGAGAGATCATTGTAATTATATAATTATATATACACATATCAGCATGTAGCAATGTAGCTATGGTTTATTCTGCTGCGAGTATCCTGTGGGACCAAAAGCAACAAGCTGATTGCTGCAATCAATCTTTATGGCAAACGAGGCTCAGCGAACCAAATTGGCACCGGTGTATATGATGATTTAAAATGATTTAAACATCATGCAACCTTGACAAGAATCTAAGCTCCACATGAAACCTTGTATGGTTCTGATACGCATTCTGCATTCAATTATTTCAAAATGTTTCAACCTCACACCAAAAATTAGGTTTTGGATGTTTTGGTAGCCGGGTATCTTCATTGCATTCCGGAAAACACGTCAAAATCATTCAAAATCCGCTTCAGAAGCTGCCAGCGGCGCGCCTTGGAATTGCACTGGAGGAGTTGGAGATTTGACCGGAACTCGGCGGCGTTGAAGGCGCCACGCTCGAAGGCAGAGACACCTTGCCATGGACGGCTCTTCCCTGGGGCTGAAAACAGTCGATTTCATGTAAAATAGTAAAACACATTTAAAAGCACATCCACTATAGTCACCATAGCTAGTCTATAGCTATGGCACTATATGGCACTATGGATGACCCCCATAGGTTTCTTAGGTGTTTCTTGGGTGTTTTGACTTGTCGAAGGGACCTTTTGCCATACCATTCCGGTATCGCCGAACTGTGTAGCCAAGGTGCACCAACAATCGATCTGCAGAAGCCCAAGCGTCTGCAGCTAAGCGCTCGCCCAATTCCCTGCACGGTGCAGGTCTGGTCTTCCAGGTTTGTGCCAAGCGAATTCGACTGCCAACGAATTGCGGGTCCAGGCCCAAAATCTAAAAATTATATAAACAAAACAGTCATTACATGTAAAGTGGAATGTTCGGTATGAAATGCTCTGAGCGAGCACAGAGTTTCTGACTCACGACTTACAACGCTTATTATGTGAATGGATGCTAACATGGTTCATTTGCCAGCCCCAATTGGCTGAGCACAACCACAAAAGGTTGCCGAAATGGCCACTGGACGCACCCAACGGGCCCTAATGGCTGCCGGGTGCCGCTGAGGGATTATTCACATATTGTATATATATATATAAGTATATAATATGTATATATATATGTATTATATTAATTATATCAATTATAACTATAATATTATATATAATTATATACTATTATTATTATTATTATATACTATATATCAAATTGCTGAATGCTGAATTCACGAATGCTCAGGTTTGCCAATAAAAAGTTCCATCCTTTGTCAGTGATTATATACAGTATTGTAGTGGAAACTACCAAAAAAAATGTTGTCACAGCAGAAACAGAATTGGAAAACGCGAGAGCAAATTAAGATACAGGTACAGTAAGTGGCAGAAGCAACGTCCGTGTGCAAGTGTACGAAGGTATTCATGAATGTCTCAAGCGAAAGAAAAACGTTGAGGACTGAATATGATGACTGCCAATGTTTTTACTTTCAGACTTTAAATCAAACAAAATGAAAACCTCATCGGAGCCAAAGTCCTTCATGATCATGAAAGGCTCGTGAGAACTTCTGAACAGTTTCTGCCCCTTGTATTTCCAAAACATGTCCATCATAGTTCCATCATAGTTCCATCATATCTATTCATATTTGTTCCATCATGTTCCATCATGTTCCATCATGTTCCATCATGTTCCATCATGTTCCATCATGTTCCATCATGTTCCATCATGTTCCATCATGTTCCATCATGTTCCATCATGTTCCATCATGTTCCATCATGTTCCATCATGTTCCATCATGTTCCATCATGTTCCATCATTGTTCCATCATGTTCCATCATGTTCCATCATGTTCCATCATGTTCC